CGCGCTCCCGCGCGAACATCATGGACGATAGACGAGATAATCGCGTGGTTATAACGATATTGTTTCTATGTTTACTGTGGTATGCGGTATCCAGCAGCAGCAATGTTGTCGACAAAATGCTGTTATCCAAATTTCCATATCCGTTGACGGTGACCATGGTTCAATTAACCTCGATCACAGTGTATTCCGGCCTGTTCTTCAATTTGTGGGGTGTAAGGAAATATTCGTCTAACATAACATGGAGCTACTATTTGCGGCTTATCATACCTCTAGCTCTGGGCAAGTTTCTCGCAACCGTTTTCAGCCACGTCAGCATCTGGAAAGTACCCGTCTCTTATGCTCATACTGGTATGCGAAATACATACGAAATACATACTTTTGATAGTGATGGGATTTCGAGCCTGAACATAAACGTTTTTCCCTTTCCTTTACATATACAAAGGCTGTGTTCAGCAAAGAAAATTAATTAGTTAGCGCTTAGTGATTCTTTAAAACGATTGGTTCCTACTTAGATTTAACGAAGAACTAAAGTCAAGAACAATCATATTAAAATCATTAAGCGCTAACTGATTAATTTTCTCTGCTGAACGCAGCCAAAGACACTTTGACAATTAATTATTATATGGATAGACAGAGCGTAAAAACTTGTGCATACCCAAGTTCGAAATTTCATGATCTTATCACTGATTATTATTGACTTTTAGCAATTCTAGCTAATATGACATATGTATCTGTCACATATGCTTGTATACATTCATTTATATATATGTACACATGTCACATCACATCATATATATGTCATTCATGAATTTCTGTATAAATATTATAATTCTTTGATATTATATGACACCATAGCTCAATGTTCTTATATAAGTGATTTTTTAGACAAAGTGCTACTACAGAGACATATCTATTTTATAACAAATAAATATAAGCTTGATTATTTGTAGCAAAACAATATATCTTAATGTAATGATCAATAAATGAGCAAACTGAGATATTTAATTGGTTAAAAAAGTTAGTTAATAAAATAGCATACATAACTTGATAAAACATTTCAACTCACAAAATCTTCATCAGTTCAAATAAAAATACAATTAAAAATACAAAGTTGAAACATTTAAAACTTTATAATTCAATATACAACAAACAATGAAGTGAATGAGAGTCTATATATAAATACACCAGACAATTGCTTCGCATCATAGAGATTTATATGACTATAGATTTATTCTTTTTCAAAGCATTCTAAACTAGCTCTGAACTAGTGCTCTGAATATAGAATATGTTATATTTCTTTTATAAAGATGAATATGAGGGAGCTTATTACGATTCTTGAAACGAGATGAAAATTACGAAAGTGATCGAATTTACTAGAATATTTATAACTTCATTGGTTAACACCTAGTGAATTTGCTCATTTTTGTAATTTTCATTTCGTTTAAAGAACTGTAATAAGCCCCAAGATGTGAATGAATAATTTTCCTTATGCATACGTTTTTTGTGGCTACACAAGTTTGTGTGGATACACTCTTACATATGTAGTGCATAGACTGTATAGGAAGTCGTTCCAATTTAATTGGTTTATATACATCGTACAACATATACATCCTCTAGTATTTTGCAATTTTCGCAATAGTTAATAAGATGTTAATTACTAAAAATCGCCATTTATATTAGTTTTCAATAATTTTTTTCGCAAGTACTATCAACTTTACAGAAAGAGAGCAAGAGAAAAATTATTTATTTTCTTTTCATAGAACTCTAATTTCGGGTACCGATTAAGAATACCATGTAAATGTGGTTATTGATTGGCTGTAGAACAGAAAAGTTTTTTGATTTCTGTGTCCTACTTTACAGCCAATCAACAGGCTCAAAAAGTTTTGCTGTACGACACATGACATATCAGGGCTGTCGCAGACAAAATTTCTGTAATGGATCCGATTATATCCAATGAGAGTATACTTTTAGAATGAAAACATCAATAAAGTGTACTCATTGGATATCGCGTGTCGCGCGCGACATCCATGTAGTCTATGAAAACAAATATTTAATAGTTGAATACTGACTTTGTTTACACCGAACTCTTGATACGCGTACTAAGGGCTGCCGCACACAAAATTCCAACAGTCACCGTAAAACGTGAACTTAAGCTGTGTAAATGTAGCCATAGTCGAACGCTTAAAGTAAAAAATAAAAATAGATGATATCGTTATAATAAGCCTATTATTTTTAGCTGAATTTTTGCATTTTCATCTTTTTTCCTTTTCTCTTCAAAAAGAAAGAAGAAGAAGAAAGATGAATTGATGTAAAAGTTTAGTCAAAAAGACCAGGCTTAATGAGAATCAAGGAAATTAAAGTCATTTTGTTTTAATCTGTGATTACATATTAATCTCTTTGTCATTTGATCACTCACTAAGAGCACAGTACAAATAAGAACAGTAAGTTTTTTCAGCCAAAAATGGTGGCGACCATTTTACACAATTAATGACACATCAATCAGTTTCCCAGGAACGATTAAATTGCACACTGCAGCAATTGCCCACTGTCAGTCACAGCGACTTCTGCTTAAGAAGTTTTTTATTTATTTTTTTTCTAGCGCTGTGATTGGCTTGTGCGCAATTGCAAGTTTCTCCAGTTTTATTCTCTAAGATCCTTCGCTCTTATAGGTGCTTAGTATAGCATAATTAACACGGTGATTGTTTGCGGTGATTGTTCAGATCAAAAGTGCCGACACAGAGTGAAACTACTGTTCTTACTTATACTGTGCTAAGGGTGCAGTCACATGAAGTGAGAAATAACCATAGGCATAGTAGGTTTGTTCACGTCATACTCCAAATTAACCCAGAGAGCACTTGGATCACAAGTAAGGTTGCGGTTGGAGCAGTTGCATTCATGTGCTCCAAGGTTTGTTCGCGTCGCACGCTCCAACACGCTCCAATACATTCGCGTCACCGAAACCAATATGGCGATTAAATGTTCGCGTCGCGTTAGAGATATTCCTATATGGATCAATTAAGAGCACACTCCATTTGCTCCTCACCTTAGAAAGTAATACGATTGGGGCATGTTACGCACGCATGCGTAATGATTGAAAACGTTCTGTATTGAAAAAAGTATTTCAAATTTTTTTTGTATAAAATGCATTTAATAAATGCGTTTTTGATATAAATATAAAAATATAATATAACAATATAATATAATATTAATAAAGTAAATCATTCGTGTCACTGAACATTGGAGCACATGAATGCAACTGCTCCAACCGCCGTCTTACCTGTGATCCAGTGCTCTCTGGATTAATTTGGAACATACGACGCGAACAAACCTCCAATGTTCAGTGACACGAACAGATTTAGGACAAGTGAGCATGTCATCTAACTTAATCCGTGAGACACTTAAACGGGTTGGACATGTATTTCGAGTGGTATTTTATGTTACCTCGATTATTTGAAAAGCGTTTTTATACAAAATAAATACATTTTTAATAAATATAAAAGTTATATTTTTATATTATATTATATT